AGAGATATTCTTCAGGAACTCTACCCAATTTGTGGCCCAATATGTGGTCTGATCTAGCTGGACACCAGCCGGCCTTGGGCACCATCCCTTCTGGCTGAACTCCTCCCCAAGGTAGGGTTTACCCTCAAATAAAATTGCCAACCAGAGCCCACATGGGTATAGAACTAATTTAGCATCCTGTACACTTGATGAATAAAGAATTTCCTCTTACGACTAAATTATAGGGCTGGTTACAGTTGCTCTTTCGTGAGCTGTTATTTGGAGGTAATTTTCCAAAAGGGCTGGAACACATGGCCATGAGCTAGAATAGGATTCACCGTGAACAGCTGCCACGTGCTGGCCAGCACATCCACCAAGCTCATCCTCTACCAGCCTTCCCCGCCTCTGCCCTTGCTCGCCAGAGAGGAGGCGCAGTCATCAGAGCTAAACTTGTATTAGATCTTTATTTTTCTTAATTAAACCACAAGAATGGCATCTGTCCACCTTTTTCTACATCTGGTTTCTAGAAATGTAGCATCTTGTCCTAACACGCTGAAAAACAGATGAGCAGGCTTCCCCCTCATCCCCCAACGCAGATGATTACAACCTTCTGTCAAATTCCACCTACCCTCCTCCCCTGTTGGCTGGAAGATAAGCTTCTGATCTTCTCTTGGCTTTTTGAACTGTTGGAAGCTGTGTAAACACAAGCTGCAGGTTAGTCAGATTTTGTTTGACCCAGGGCCTGCTGAGTGCAAAGAGATTACATTTGAAAACTCCCTTGTCTAATTAAGAGATGGTGACCTATTGCGGGGTGGCTGCTGATGGGGTCAAATAGCAAGGGCTTTCATGTCGACCTGGTGCAGCTGGTCATTTGCTGATAAATAAGGAGCAGCAAGATTTTAGAGAGCCAACTTCCCTATAGAGATCTCATTTCATAAAACACTTGAATTGGGTTCTTTCTCTGAATTTCTCATGTGGCATCAAGTACTATAGAGGAATTATCAGTAGCAACAGTCAGGGGACTCGTCCTTTGATGACAACCCTTCTTTCCTTGGTCTTTGCGCAGTGGATTCCTGTGCCGAGAATCACAAACTAAAGTGCTGTGCTCTACTTCTATTTGGACTGTTGACTTCTCAAAAATCCTGAGGGTCAGATGAGGACCACTTAGAAAGTTGGCATTTGAATGGGATGTGGTGGGGATGGCAGAAGAGAAATAGATCACAAGGCCTAGAGCAGATCCTGTTGCAGATCCTGTTGCAGGATTTTCTCACTGACAATTCCTGTCTTTACCATGAACCTTAGTAAAATGTTATTATTCTTGCTTTGCTGCTATGATTCCTAAAACATAGAGAGGTCAGCAACATTTACAAAGCATGTGCCATTCATGGAAAGGTGTGGGAAAGCACCCCCAACTCCCTTGACTTTAAGATTTGTCCATTCCAGGGAACCACACAACTTCCCTGTGGAAGTGTCTGGAGGCCCACAATGAAGGGCCAATTTTGATAAGTGAAAATTCTCCTTGTGTCTATGGAGTATAAGTAAAGATAAAATTGGAACCTTAGGAAAAATCTTGAAAAATGTGTCCAAGAGGTCCTCCCATTCACTCTATGCTCCAACTTGTATTATCCCTCAACCTCTTATAGTGGGTATCTGGTTTCTTCACCAGTGTCTATTCCCTGGAGTTCTGGAAAAAACATATGCAGAGTTCTTCAGTGACACCATTGATCCTCCAAAATTCAGCTCTCAGATGCCTTGCTCACTGCATTTAGGCCAATCAGAATCAATGAATCAAAATACATTTACTTTTAATGGAAAGTTGAGAAAAAGACACTGCTGTCATTTCCCTCTGGCCTTGAGTCAGGAATGACAGGTTGGAGTTACTCCTGTCACCCTGCCACGACATGCAGCATCCAGATGTATCTGAGGGACAGAAAGAAACTGGGTCTCAGGGCTGTTTGAATCCCGATCAAGCCCTGTGTGATCTCCTGTGTTTTACTGTAGGAATTTGAGAAAGTTTTTGATATTTCTAATCTGAAGAGATCAAGATTTAGGTTTAATTTTACAAAGAACATTTGAGTTTTTAAAATTTACCTTAACTTTTTATTGTGAAATAGTTTTCGATTTAGAGAAAAGTTACAAAAATAGTACAGAGAATTCCCACATACCCTCACTTAGCTTCCTCTCATGTAAACATATTGCATAGCCATGATACTTCCACAAAATACTACTGACTAAAATGAAGATTTTACTCAAATTTGCATTTTTTTCTACTAATGTCCTTTTTCTGTTCCAGAACCCAATCCATGATCCCACTTTGCACTGTTTTCATGTCTCTTGGTGTCCGAGACAGTTCTGTAGTGCTGCCTCATTTTTCATAACTTTCACTCTATTAAAGAACGCTGACTATTTTATCTCTCTATTTGTTTATTTTTAAAATGTATATATTTATTTTTAATTGAGGTGATATTTGGATACCCTTGTTGGGCATTGCACCTGGCACCAAATCACCCATAGTCCATAGTCCACCACCATAGTCCATTGTGCTTCCTTCCCTCTTTGTATTAATGCCTCCCCAAATCCCTGGGTACACCCAGGATGACAGGACAAGGACAAAATCCCCCCTCCCTGTCTCTACAACTGCTCTTTTTCCCTCTTTTCTTTTTTCTTTCTGAATAAGAAGGAGAATGTTGGAAAGGGGAGGCAACACATTTTCATTAATGTACTCTTTTAATTTTTTTATTTTATATATATATTTTTAATGCTTTTTTTTTAACTATTATTTATTTATTTATTTACACAAGCACTGGGCACAGTCAGAAGCGCGGGAGGGCGAGAGAATTCACCAGAGCCAGAGCTGGGAGAAGAACAGGCAGAAGGACCGAAGTACACTGCTGAGGGGAGCAGTGGGTGGCAGGAGAGGTCTGCGCACTCATGTGGGACCCTCGCCGGTGGCCGGGGATGGAACCGGCGCTGCAGAGGCTGCAGCAGCTTCGTAGCCCAGTGCTCAACTGTTGCGCCACCAGGGGAGGCCCTATTTTATTTTATTTTTTTTACATCATTCTATATTTTTGTACAAGGTATGCTTTCTCATCTTGGTTGCAGATCCCACGAAATTCCCACCCCCCATTCACCCATGTACCATTACCATAGTCCCTTGTGCTCTTCCCTCCCCTGTTTTGATCCTACTCCCCCCACCCCCGTAGAATGTCTCTGGTTTATAGTTACCTGTTGATTTTGATATTTACTTTATTATAATTACTTTTTCCCCCTGATCCCTTATTTGGATTGCAGCATTAATGTACTTTTTCTTCATGAACAAATGAAGATGGAGTGTGATCATTCTAAAATCGTATCTCCTGCAAAATCTTTCACATCTTCTTCAGTTCATATTTTAGCCTTCTCTTAGGTGGACCATATCAGAAGTTGTAAATGTTTCTATTATTCATCTCTAGAAAAACACTTTCTGATACTTTGCCACTGAGTTTTAGACAATTCTGCACAATATCTTACATACCTTTCTCTAGTTATAATTTCACTCAGTGCGCTATTTTCAGTCTCATATATGAAACAGTTTCCCTTATTTCTTAAAATCTGTAGCAAATCCACAATCCTCATGGATTTATTGAGATAGTGAAAAAAAATCTTGTCCTCTTCTTTTTCACTAGAGGGCCTTATTTCTAATATTGCAGACATTTATTTTTGTTCTCCTTGAATTTCTTGCCAGATTCTCTGTTCTCAACTCTCAATTATGGGGTCAAAAGGTAGTTAAAGGACTAATATTAAGGTTACATTAATTTTGGGTATAAAAAGAGGATCACAAACCTTTCATACTGTATAATTTTTCAATAAGGGGGAGATGGCTGAAATTAGTAACCTTCTTTAGAGATGGTCTGTTGTTCAACCAAAAATTATCTAATGTGTCTGCTCTAATGGGATATTTGCTAGCATCATATACATTTTAAAATCAATAATAATCTGCTTTATTTGTACAGGGTTCAGAGTTCACACAGTACTTTTATAAAATTTATTTCATTCCCCTTCTCAATCCTATGAGGTTAACATTATTACTCATAATTATAGATTAATATTAGAAGATTTAGGCCTTAGGTGATTTGCCCAAATGTCCCCAAGCTCTCCAATGATAGGTCTGATTAATTAGTTAATTTTTATGTTATTGAGGTAAAATTGGTTTATATCATTGCATTCACTTTAGAGATTATACATTCAAACTTATAGACATATATGTTTTCACACCATGCCCCAATAGTACACCAACAAATGTAGATATGGCCCCCTGCCTTCCCAGCTCCCATCCCACTACCATCCTCTTCTGGTTGCCTCAGATTTGCAGACAAATGTCATGGGTTTGCTACTGATTTGGTTTTTGTCTGACCTTTTGTTTTCATTCTTTGTATTACACATATAAGTTAAACCATGGGGATTTGTCTTTTTCCTTCTGACTTACTTTGTTTAGCATCTTCCTTTCAGTTTCATTCAAATACTTCTTCTGCAATGATTGATATAATCATATGATTTTTATCTTTCCTTTTGTCAATGTGGTATATTACATTGATTTTCAGATGTTGAACCATTGCTGTGTCCCTGGAATAAATCCCACATGGTTATTTTCTATGCTCCTTTTAATGTATTGTTGAGTCTTGTTTGTTAAGATTTTGTTGAGGATTTTTATATCTATATTCATCAGAGAAATTGATATGTAATTCTCTTTTTTTGTCTTTGCCATGTTTTGTTTACAGATTAATGTTGTTCTCATAGAATCTGCTTGGAAACTCCCCCTTTCTATATATTTTTCAAGAATTTTGAGGATAGCTATTAGTTCATCTTAAACTCAAATATTCTGATCTGAGTTCAGAATTTATATGGTTCCAAAAACTTATCAGTAATGTCTGCTTCTAATAAAGAAGAGTTTGAAGTTAGAATACCACCATATTGCTTCTTTATATAGATTAGAGTTGATTGTCTAAATACTGACAATGGCTTGCAATGTTTTCTGTTCATAGTTATCCTTTTTGAGAAGCACAGGAATTTTGATTTCCCTGACCATCCATCCTCCATTGGGCTCCAATGTTTAAAGGTATTATTTTTATGTGACAATGATTGTGGTATTTGCATGTGATAATCAAGTAATTACTTAACTACCCAAATTGTGTGTGCAACTAAGGGTTATGAACTTAGAAAATTGCCTTAAGAATCTTACCCTGGAAAAATTATGATAGCAGAAAATGAGTATTGGAGTGGAAATTTCTTGCAAGACTGATTTTGTTGTTGTCATTGTTGTTTAATAGAATCTAAGTTAAGCTAATTATGTTGTTTTCTTTGCCTCATTTTGACATTTGAAGAATGGAAATGATAATGTTTGCACTACCTACTTCCAATGGCTAATTCCCATATAAAGGAAATTGGGGCAATGTATGCAAGTGACTTTTAAAAAATATGATGCAGGGCCTCCCTGGTGGTGCAAGGGGTTAAGTCTCAGCACTGTGAAGCTATCAGCAGCCACTGCAGCCTGAGTTTGAGTTCCATTTCCAGCTAGGGAGCTAACCCTCATGACACAGAGACCTCTTCTGTCTCACCTCCTGCTCCTCTCAGCAGTGTATTTCAGTCATTCTGCTTGCCTGTTCTGCTACCCACACTGTCTCTGGTGAATCCTCTCACTTCCCCCTGCATCTCTGGCCTACACCTCAGCTTTTGTATGCATAAATAAATCTTTAAAAAACAAAAAATGTGATTCAATGTTTAAATAGAATATATTTAAGTTGATACTAGATAGAGTGATATTATTTTTAAGTGGACTCATGTGCTCCCATTTTTGAGACAAGTAGAGATTAATATTTTTATATGAATCTTTGATTTACCTCATAAATCTATATCATATTGTGATTAAATAAAATAAAAATGAATTAAACATAATTATGAAAAAAGAATATTGTCACCTCTTGGATGCATAAAAATTTATCATGTGGCTTCCCTAGAAATGATATGTGGCCCACTGAGAAAGCTGACTAACCACAGTTACATATAAAAATACTGAAGTTCACTAAATGTAAAGGACTTAAATCAGTTTCATGAGATTTTAAGAGTAAGAGTGAGAATTTAGCATCAGTGTGTCTAACTCTAATTATCCTTTACAAAAACTTTGATATTCCCGTCAGAGAAACCAAGTTTCCTTGACATTGATAGTTATACATATGTATGAGTCATGTTATTAAAAGGGATTTAGAAATGTATCTGCTTCCTGATAATTTGGTAATGCAATGACTTACTAAAGACTTGCAGATTGGAATGGCTTGCAGATTACCATTGCATTATATTCAAGAAAAGGACTTGCTAAGAAAACTAGTGATGTGCTGAGGAAGGTGATGGCTCTTAAAATTATTTAAAAGAACAAGTCAGTCGGGCCTCCCCTGGTGGTGCAGTGGTTGAGCGCTGGGCTGCGAAGCTGCCCGCAGCCTCTGCAGCGCCGGTTCAATCCGGCCACCAGCGAGGGTCCCACATGGCGCTACACACCTCTCCTGTATCTCCCACTGCTCCCCTCAGCAGTGTGTTTCGTCAGTCTGCCTGTTCTGGTCCCTCTCTGGCTCTGGTGAATTCTCTCACCCTCCTGCGCTTCTGACTGTACTCAGTGCTTGTATAAATAAATAAATCTTAAAAAAAAAAAAAAAAAACCAAAAAACTGTAATAAGGACCTGGAAAAAGCTTCTAGGACAGTACAGAACAATGATATGTTGAAGATTTCCCGAACAGGGACCCAGAGTCCCTGTTAATTAATTTTAAGTAGGATAAGAACAAAACTCATATAGAATAAATTTTGTTTGACACCAAGGGACACCAAGTCCTACCTCTTCCACTCTTGTTTAGAGATTGTAATTACCTAGACCAGTGTAACACAGGCACTTATGAAGTGCTACGTGTTACTCTGACTCAACAATTTCCTTTACCTTCAAAAAGTTCAGTTCTTTTAATTTTGATCTAAAACTCATGATGTATAAGTTACAACAACTGGAAACATTAATTTTATTTCTGCACTTAGTATCTGATATTAAATATCTTCCTTCATAAGAAAAAGGAAGATAGACTAACTGCCTTCCCAAATCCTTTCAAACTTAAATAAAAAATTATATTGGTTGATAAAGAGAAATAAGAGACTGTTGGTGTGATAAATGAAATGCATATCTAGTTAAAATCTGTTAACTAGGAAGCTTCTTAGTATTGTTACCAACCTAAATCTATCATATAAAAACAAATAAAATTTTTACAGCTTAAAATTGCTGTGGCTATCATGTAATAGAAAGTGTCAATTCTCTGATATCATGTCATACATTATTAGTATTGTTGTTAATAATAATGATAATTTTATAAGATTATATTAATTAGCACCTTTCTATTGACCTACTGAGAAAACTTAATACTTCATGATCTCATAGTTCTATAATAACCATTGTATTAGAACGCTAGTAATTCAGGTCTGTAAAGCCAATGAAAGATGTTATAGCTATAATTTTCTTTCTTAAACTTTCTACTTTTTAAATGTAGACATTAAACCCATGACTCAGATGTCTGCAATATTATGCCTCTGCCATTCCTCAAATATTATATGTACAAAGAAAAAAGAATATTAAAGTAATAGTTCCTTGGTTTAAAAAAAAAAAGTGAATTTTTGTTTTCCTAAATGTGCACCCATTTATTCTCTGAGCAAAGATTTGTCAAGAGTGTAAATTTTATTAAAGGATTTTATTTTTATTTATTCATGCATGTAGGAACTGGGGTATAGGCCAGAGGTGCAGGGGGTGAGAGGATTCACCAGAGACAGAGTGGGGAGCAGAACAGGCAGATTGACTAAAATACACTGCTGAGGGGAGCAGCGGGTGAGACAGGAGAGGTCTGCTGTGCCATGTGGGTTAGCTCGCTGGCTAGGGATGGAACTCCTGCTGCAGTGGCTGGCGATAGCTTGATAGCACTGAGACTTTAATCCTTGTGCCGCCAGGGAGGCCTCAACAGTGTAAAAATTTTGATAGCTTACATTATGGAGCTTAACTCAAAACAGCTGAGGTGATGCCTCAGCTGCTTCTAAAGGGGATCTCTCTTTAAATGTTTGAGAGCCAGGAGTGCTGCTTGCTGCCATTTTGTCCACCTCTCTAGTTCTAACTGATGGAAATGAATAAGAGGACTCATAACAGAGTCAAGAGAGGGATTGGGCCTGTGGAGACTGTGCACATTCCAGTCACATTTGAACTATGAGTGTTATCAATCATTTTAGCCACTGGATCAGGATATGCTTCACCTTGCTACCTAAAGCACATGCATGCTCTGCTCAAGTAGCCTGACTTTAATATGTGTTTGAAGTTGCTAAAGTGAACATGTGTATCAGAGCTCTGAATTAATTGCTTTGCCTAGTGTATTCCATTGAATTGAAATAGTTTTGACAACTTAGAGTACTTTGGACAATAACCAGGTGACTGAGAGTTAAACACTAAGTCTACTTCTGGCCTAAGCAAGAAAAGTTTGTCCAACCTACAGAAGTGAGGTTCTGAAGGTTGGATCTTCAATTTTTCATAGAATAATTAAGAAAGAATTGTGAACTGGCCTGTAAATGGGTATATCCACTGGAACACATCCCTGAGAATACCAAACCAAGCAAGGGTGTATCTTAAACGTCTAAAGATTTCATGAGGGAAAGAGATGGGCAGGTTCAACATGTCTTTGGCTAGTCTGTTCTAGATTGGTTGGTTCTAGGGTAGTTCATCACTGGCCAATTGCTGAACCACTGATGTTTGTGGTTTTCAGGAGCTAACATAACCCACAAAGCCCATTAACGCTAAGTTCAAATAGTTCAGTTGAGTCACAGACCACAAGGAGTGATTACCCATCATAATGTTTTCTGCTGATTCTCATCCATTTTCTTGAAGGGGCTGCTTGCTCTGGATTTTTTTATTCTGGGGGCAGGAATGCTCACTGTTTTATAAGGTCTCACTCCCTCTAGGCACAGGGTCACATAGCAGGCTCACAGGTATGTATTCAAAGCACAGCAAAGATTTCCTTTATCACAGATGAAGCAGGAATTCTTTATGGGCCTCCTGAGAAATTGTGAAGAAGTAAATGCTGGTGATGAAAAGGAAAGTCAGTTAAGGTAAAACCAGTGCAGGGAGAAAATGGAATGTGATCAATTTCTCTTTAAAAACTATTATCCGGCCTTCCTGGTGGCCTAGGGGCTAAGTCTCAGGGCTATCACTGCTACGACCTGAGTTCGATCCCTGGCCAGGGAGCTAACCCACATGGCGCAGCAGACTTCCTGTATCGCCTGCTGCTCCCTTCAGCTGTGTATTTCAGTAATCCTCCTGTTCTGCTCCCCACTCTGTCTCTAGTGAATCCTCTCACCACCCTCATCTCTGGCCTACACCCCAGTTCTTCTACGTAAAATAAAGAAAATAAAGAAAAAACTATTATTGACATAAGCAATGGAGTAATGTAAGTTACTAGAATCCTGTTTGTGGGTGGATGGACCCACTGTCTTAGGCCTCATTTTGCTTTTTGAATTCTCTGATTTAGTTTTCTGTATGAAATAATCAAACAGTAAGCACATCTTCACTCTGGTTGGTATGGAAATAGCCTGCCTAGAGTCATTTTTATCCTACATTACTACCAACGCAATTTCCTCAATTGCCCTATCTGTCAAGGAAATGCATCAGTAGTTTAAGGGGACATTGTTAAAAATTTTTGGTTTATGTAAAGGTGTCTGCATCTGGTCAGGCATTCAGGTAATGGTGTTTTTGCTCATAAAACAGTTTTCTTTACTGGAAGGTGGCAAAGATATATAAGATCTACTTTCTGTTTTGAGGAAATTCAAAATCTATAGATGTGGTGCTTATTATGATTGTGCTGCTAAGTATAAAGTAGATGAGTAAAAATTTTACTCCACAATCAGAAAAAGGCATTACAGGAAAAAAAAAGACAATTTTAAGCCATTTCTAGAAGTTGAGGTTGGGCAGCTGGTAACAAGTCTGAAACTCTTTCCTGGAAGAGGTGACTCGAAGTGCCACTGTGATAAGGAACTGCATATTAGGGTCTGGGAGTAAT